ATGTACATTCATGTTACTGAACATAGACATTGACGTTAATAATGTATCCTTTCCAGTCTAGTAGCTTGAAAATGTTTTAGAAAGCAGCGGTGAAGAGTTTCGGGGATATAACGTCACCGTTTCTTACATCTCTCTGCAATGGGATGGGTTTCGTACTCTGGTTATGTACCCTATTGTGCAAACACTTCAACACTTCGCTATACCGACTACAGAAAATAAACCACTTATTTTAGTAGATGCATATATACAATACACCTATTAAAGTATACATAAGAAAAGTATATTTAAGATAACATGGATAGTGATGATAGATAATGCTCATTTATTTTGGCAAATTAGCATAAATTTGACATGTCAGATAATAGAATTGATTGCACGCTATATAAAAGAATAGCAGTAAAAAGCTGGAAACCTTGATAGTATATAGGTATAGGTATTTTTTATAATAGCTCAGGGAAAAAGTTTCTTAATATTTTACACACGAACTCAAGTTATTATTTTAGTTTAATTACATTTAATTATAATATATATGTGCTATTTTTTGCCCGGTGGTAAAAGCGCAAAATATACGATACTCTTCCTAACCGACCATACACACAGCATTTATTGCACGTTAATGGAGGTTTCGATACAGTCCGTGGAGCTTGAATACCCTTTGAATATGATCTTTTTCGCACGTTCTTGTCGTAGATGATCCACTTTTTATAACTAGTGATAAATAGTAAAAAAAAATGGTTAGGTTTCATTACGTTTCAAAAGAAAATAGCAAATAAATAAACGATTCATTAGGTTTGTTTTACTAAGCTCGTGTAACAAATATCGAGTTTTTTTTTTGTATAATCATACTTTTTAAATGTGTCAAAACTTTTTTTATAGCATTGGGTGACAAACAAGCACACAGTCCACCTGATTTTTAATGGATATTGTGACCCATAGACATCCACATTTATCTTTAATTAAGAACCAATATACAAATGTGTTGTCAACCCTGAGTACTAAAATGGAATGCCTCGATTTCAGTCAAAAGGGTTTCCGGTTCTTTGCAGCCAGCATACGAAACAAAAAAGCATTACACTGCTATTTTACGCAGGCATTCTGTGAGAGCGAGATCCTGTCCCCGTCAAGCCGACCCACTCGTGCTATATATAAATACTATAATATAGATGCAGCGTGGCTCTACCACGTAAGTTTTTGTGGTCAATCCTTAATTCTTCGGCATTATGCCAATCTTGCTCCACTCTTTCCAAAAATGGCATCAAGTTTTTCCGTATGAGGGCAAACAGAGCGAGTTAAATCTTTGACCTCAAAATTCGTGGATTGAAAACGCTTGAACCAACTTTGTGCTCTTACTACATTGCCACTGACACTGACACTGCATTAGGTTTCGAAGTCGAATTTTTCCCTTCAGTAAATATCTAATTCTTTCGTTACATTCACTCATTTAGGCGAACAGAAAAACAATAGAAAAACAGGGAGAAAGTGTTTTTAACTTTTTAGTTTTCTTTTTCTTAATGGCCTATTTCTGTTGATATTAAAAGCAGCCTGATACAAACGGTACAACCAAAGAGATTTTTTTTTTCAATTTTATAGTATAAACAAAATACAAGGGATCTTTTCCCCCAACCTTTTATTTAAATAAACACATAAATAAAATCTAGGGATATATTTTATCAAATATCTAAAAATTTATGAAGAATTTTCTGATATAATGAATGAAAGGTTATTTTAAGATCATTAATAAAAAATAAAAAAAAAACATTACGTATTTTTTTTCTTTGAAATTAAAATCGCCGCAGAAGATTAGTATGATAAAAAACTTCGTTTATACTTATATAAAACTATTAATTTTAATTAAATTTGAATAAAATGTAATAAAAGTCCAATAAATCTCTTACATTATCTAAAAATCAATTTCATCAATTTTTCATACTAAAAAGTAAATTGTCAATGTCTTGTTGCGGTATAAAGGACCTATGTTCTTTGCAAATGTTCGTAAATTTGTTGTTCCGTCGTCACATTTGGTGGGGGGGGGGGAAATATCTCAAAGCTTTTCGTTGTAATATGTACCAGGTATGCTCGCTAGGATTTAAGTCGGGTGACTGTGTGGGCAAATCCAACACTTGAATATCATGCTCTCGGAGAGCGGCCAACACCAGCCCCGCCATATGGGAAGGAGCATTATCGTGCACGACTACTCATCACACAATTTTTTGCCTGATTTGTATTTTGTGTGGGATAATAACAGACTCTGCTACCTATTCGTGGTAGTTTTGTACAGTCATGTTACCTTGGATCCAAACGAGATGGGTTCGTCAGCCAAGATGAATACCTGTCCACACCATGATTTTCTCGCCTTGGTATGAATGGACCTCCTGAGGGTGCCGTAGACGGCTAACTCTCCTTGGTGTTCTCCAAATGTGTGCTATTCGTGAATCCAGATGAAACTAAAACTGGGACTCATCGGTGAACAACACCAAAGCTCATTGTTCGTCACTTCATAGTAAATGTTCCCAAGCTCATGAAAACCGCGGAACGCCTATTGCCACGTCGCAATTCTGGAATACGTAGCGGTCTGCGAGCATGAAAACCAACTTCATGCAACCTCCTTCGTACGCTTTGGTCTCTTATCAGTAGCTGGTGGTCCTGGAGCCTTTGTAGTAGTTGCATCGCTGTGATATTGGGTAGTTTCTTCTGGCGATCATTTGGAGAAATCGATCCTGCCTCTGCGTAGTAACACGATATCTACCCGGGTGCCGTTCAGCCACATCACCAGTACGAGATAACGTGACCGTTTTGGCTGGTGTGTAGGGCCTCAGCAACGACGCGTTGAATAGTACCATTTTCTACCATGCCCACGGCTCGTAACATTTCATCATGACTCAAATGACGCCGTGAAACGACGCTTAAAGCTCACACAGCACGTTAAATTAAAAAAGAAAAACAATCTTAACCCTTTTTATTAATTAATATCACTAGAATAATTTTAATTTTCTTTGACGTAACGAATTATTTAAAAAAATCGCCTTTTTTGTTTTTGTTATGTTTTTTTTTACTTTTCATTTTTAAATTTTGGAAAAAAGAATAAAATAGGTTTTAATCCGCATATAAACTTTTGTGGAAACTAAAAATATTTTAGACTATATAGTGGTAAATAATTGAGTATTAAAGTATCCCTGGATTCTGTTGATGAAATATACTTTCCATTTAAAAAAAATATTAAATTTACTATTAACACACAATATGATAAGATCAATTCTGCCAAGACATCGAGCTTATAAAAACATTTTAATTATCAAATTATTTGTTTTCGGGTAAATAAATTGTATTTTGACTTTTGTATAGATAAAAAACAACAGGACTCATTTAATTTACGCCCCATTTATAAAATGTTTTCTTCTAATAAACATTTCGCCGCAATAAATTTGATCAAGTATTACGAGAACCGAACAAAACTTCTTCACTTAGTAACCGATACAAATAGTGGTGAACTTACTTCGCTACTAAATTTACCTCGTAAGAAACGATTTCCGGAATGGACGGATCTTAATAGATGCCAGTAATGGAGGTTTCCCATTTATTTGACTTATGCTATCTCTGCGTGTCTTATATTACTAAAGTTCTATTAAGTTGGTTCAATTTATATAGTTTGTAATTTGTTAACCTTTTTATAAGAAAATATTAAGTATAACTTTTTTCATTAATAGATATAATATGGGAAAGAAAGGTTGTGGAGTGACAACTTCATACAAGTAAGCGTAGTATAGGGCGACCCCCCACCAGACTGAGTGACGACCTTGTAAGATATGCAGGAGGTATATGGATGAGGTATATGGATTCAGGTGGCTCATCACCGTGCTTTGTGGCATTTCTTGGGGCATGCCTATGTTCAGTAATGTAGTTGTGGAGTGCTGTAATTTTGATGATGATAATGATGATGAATAGACATATTCCTTCGAGATGGTGACGCGACCGTCTGTTAGAATTTGCAAAATATTTATCGCCTAATATGGACCCCTATTCACCTCTTTTAACACTCACAAAGGGGGCAAAAATCTCATATATCAAGATGGTTAGCCTTCAATAGGTGATCTAGCGTCAGAAGTGTATAACATAACGCCAATCAAAAAGATTTTGGCAGATTTTTACAATGAGGTCTAATAAATTTCCTCACAACAGATGTCGCTAGTTGTGATTGAGGTGAAGTTTTATCTCACACATGTACTAATTTGGAAATTACTTTTTAAATAAAATTTTATCCTTTTCTAGTGTAATATGTAAATACACAATATAATTCCTCAGTGGTATGCTCTTAAGTTTTGAAGATTTTTTAACTTTTAATTTAATAATAAAAAATAAAACTAATAATAAACAAAAAACCTTATGCTTTTTTAACAAATTCACTTCCACGCCTTGAAATCTGTCAGATATTTTACCACCTCCTAGGAATGACCTAAGTGGCTCTTCTCTGGTGGTAAAAAATGTCGTGAATTGTAGGAAAACATCGCTTGTCAATAAACTTATGCGGATGATGATCTCCTAAAGTCATGCCGGTAATACGATAGCTTCAGATTACAGTAAAAGTTTACATTACATTACATTACGAATACATTAAAAGTGTAAGTATGGTGAAACCCTATTTTAATCATACTTACATGCGAGCTTTTAAAGACGTGGGTAGGCAAAAGCTGTAAATACCACAGTACTCTAGCAAAACCCAGATTCGATTCCAGCAGGCACCAATGAAATTGTTAATTGAGATAATAGCGCTGTTTTGCCACTTATCCAGTGTTAAATATGAACACATTGACGAAACTTACATTTCTGTGAGAACAACTTCCAAAGCCATAATGTGAATTCTGTGAAGGATCTAATATACAGATGTTTATTGGATAGATGTCTATAGCTTATTTAAGATCCACCACTTCACGGTAAACTCATCAATTATTATAGCTTTATTTCAAAACTTTTTAAATAAACGTCATAATTATTTTTGGTTTCAGAACAAAAATCAAAGAAATTTCCAGTGCTAGTGTTTATACACGGTGACTCCTTTGAATGGAGTTCAGGAAATCCGTACGATGGAAGGATATTAGCTGCATACGGTAACGTTATGGTGATTACTGTGAATTTCAGACTGGGGATATTAGGTGGGTATATTTTATTTTTCAGTTTTTATTCGTGCTTTGAAATATATTTCCACCATAGATATATTATTTTAGGCTTTTAATTGAATGCAATATATTATGTAATAGTCAAATTTCGTGGATCCGGCGATTACAGAGGTAACAAACCAGGATATTTCATTGTTTACATTACATTATATTATTTCATTTTGTTGAGTAGAGATTGTCACCATGAAATTTTAAAATGTTGCGAACAAAATTATTATTAAAAGATTGACTGAGTACTCCAGTATATGTTGAGATTACACGTTGCGTGCGTATTAATACAGTAAAGTAATGAATGGACTCACTGTCTCTGTGTGCGTTCGCGCTGCCGTTTGTGTGCACGTTGTGACGAGTCGGTAATTAAGAACACCTCTATTATCTTATTATTTTAATTTTAATTTTCATAACAGAATTAAATTTATTTTATGATTGAGACAGAAAGTAATATATATATATACACGTCTATACTCTCTCGAGGTCCAAAGGCGAAGGCAACAATTTTACATATTGTATATTAGATATCTGTACGTATACAATGGTATGTGTAGGGTACTAGTATGTGTAACATACAAACTTAAAAAATTACTCGAATTACGGTTGAGTCTCAATAATTGGACAACCAAAGTTTTTTTTTATAATTTATTATAAATAAATAGGTATATAAAAGTGTATTAAATAGATTAATGTATTTTATTTGACATTGACAATTGTGCTGAGGACGTGTGCTCCAGAGTTGGCACCGGTTTTAACGCGTCTTTTCCGGTACTCCTACTCCCTAGGCGTAGTCCCAAAATCATGGAAGACGGCTTTCGTCCACCCGATCCCTAAAAAAGGCGACCGCTCAGACCCGTCCAACTACCGGCCTATCGCCATCACCTCCTTGTTCTCCAAAACAATGGAGTCCATTGTAAACTGCCAGCTCATGAGGTACCTTGAGGATCACCAGCTGATTAGTGACCGCCAATACGGTTTTCGCCGTGGTAGGTCAGCTGGTGATCTTCTGGTCTACCTAACTCACAGATGGGCGGAGGCAGTAGAGTCCAAGGGGGAGGCATTGGCCGTTGGTTTGGACATTGCGAAGGCCTTCGATCGGGTTTGGCACAAAGCGCTTCTTTCGAAGCTCCCTTCCTATGGGCTTCCCGAGAAATTGTGCGATTGGATCACCAGTTTTCTTGTAGATCGGAGCATCAAGGTCGTTGTAGACGGTGCAAGCTCCGATTGCAAACTTATTAATGCTGGTGTTCCACAGGGCTGCGTGCTATCGCCAACGCTGTTTCTTCTGCATATCAATGATATGTTGCAAACCCGTAGCATTCATTGCTATGCAGATGACAGCACTGGTGATGCTCTTTACACCGGCCGAGCCAATATTTCTCGGGAAAACGTCTTTGAGTGCCGGGACAAACTTGTGTCTGAAGTCGAGTCTCTGCTGGACAGAGTCTCGGATTGGGGGCGACTAAATCTAGTCCAGTTTAACCCCCAGAAGACACAAGTTTGCGCGTTAACCGCTAAAAAGAACCCCTTTGTCGTATCCCCTCAGTTTCAAGGCACTCCCCTTGTTGCCTCAGCCAGTATCGGAATCCTCGGCGTCGACATATCGAGTGACGTGCAGTTTCGTGGTCACTTGGAAGGGAAGGCCAAATTGGCCTCTAAAAAGCTTGGCGTGCTCAGCAGAGCGGGACAGTATTTCATGCCGGCACACCGCCTGCAACTTTACAAGGCGCAGGTTCGGCCGCTCATGGAATACTGTTCCCATCTCTGGGCTGGGGCTCCCCAGTACCAGCTCCTTCCACTTGACCGCATCCAGCGCAGAGCGGCTCGAATCGTTGACGACCGAGTGCTTTCCGATCGGCTCGATTCACTGGCGCTGCGAAGAGATGTTGCATCTCTTTGCGTATTTTATCGCATCTATCACGGGGAGTGCTCTGAGGAATTGTTCGGATTAATCCCAGCCGCCAAATTTCGTGAACGCACTACACGGCAAACGTCCCGATACCATCCACACCATCTGGATGCTTGGCGGTCCACCACTGTACGTTTCAAAAGGAGTTTTCTTCCGCGTACAACCTCTCTGTGGAATAATTTACCACCGGTGATTTTTCCGGACCGATACGACCTGGGGACCTTCAAGAAAAGAGCTTACTCCTTTCTAAAGGGCCGGCAATTCCCCTGGTGTTGCGGTTGATCATGGGCGGCGGTAGTCACTTAACATCAGGTGAGCCACATGCTCGTTTGCCCCCTCTTCTATAAAAAAAAAAAAAAATATTTTTTTCAATTTACTCATTGGTTGAGTAAATGACAAAAATATGTCAAATAATTATTTTTTTCATTAGTCTATTTCTACTTTTATATACTTTGCTTAACATAGGCCTCTCCATAGATTACCTCATTAACCATAGTTGCTACGCTTGGCAGGCGGGTTGACAACTAAAGTTTTAATTTTTTTGTTGCTATGAGGAACATGCCGATGCTCATCTCCTGGTCTGTGTCCGTATTTATTTCATTTATAATTTATTAAAGACATTTTGTAACTCATTTTTTATATGTGCTTAATCTTAAGACACTAAAAAGTTGGTTTTTAGCGTCTTAATATTAGTCTTATACTGAAAATTCTTATCGTTCTTTTTATTTATTTTTTCTGTGATGATGTATAATAGGAAGATAGTTGTTGTCCAAACCTAAAATTTTATTTTACTTAATTAGAATTAAAATTAACCAATTAAAGACGTTGAAACTAATTAGCTAATAACGACGTGAAAAAAAAAAACAAGTTTAGAGTCTATCTCGCCTTCATTTAATTGGGTTTCATATCTATACGAGGCATTATCAGAAAATTTTGACTCTGTGAATCCGCAAGATCAAGACATAAATCGTTTAGAGGCCAAAAAATATCGCATTATTAGTGTGTCTTACCTAGTATTCGGGTGTTTGTGGCTATAGTTTTGGGATCCGTGGTGAGAATGATAGTGCTTGCAAATGAAGGAAGTCGGAAGGTGCTTTTTATACTAGTAATAAACATAATTTTCACATTCACGCGGATCTTAACTAATTTATTTCATTATTATTATCATCATCATTATAGCCCTTCACATATTATATAATTAGCAATTTACTAATATCACTACTCAATACCTCTCAATACCTATCAATACTCAATACGACTCAATACCTTAAAACAGACAATAAAAAATAATTTAAGTAAGATTTGCAAGTCAGTTGTATTTTTTAAATCGATAATTATGTTCATGTGATTAAGTTTTTTTTTGTTATGTTAATAGTCACTATTTAGTACCGCGTAACTTTCTTTTAAATTGTCTTTAACTTTTCGGCACTGTAGGTCAATTTCTAACAGATAAGTTGTTTGTATTTTATTTCTTTTGTATACGACTGTTTGTTGCAAAAAATAAATAAAAAATACATATCTGGTGTAAGGCGCTATTGACGTCATTGAGCATAGTGCTTAGGTCCCACAATGATTCTGCCATAAGGATTCGAAGGTGAGTGATGTAATCGTCATTGATGTTAATACCGTATTCTTTGCAGTCCAGTAGCTTGAAAACGTCTTTTAATGCAGTGGTGAAAATTTTTGGGGATATAACGTCACCCTGTCTTACACTACTCTGCACTTGGATAGTACGAAATACTCTAGTTCCCTAGTCATTGTAGCCCTACTGTACAAACGTTTCAGCATTTCGATTTATAAAACAGTTAACTTAGCATCGCTGAAGGGTGTGTATCACTGCCCAAATTTCGACGGAATCAAAGGCTTTCTCATAGTCCACATAAGCCAGGCAAAGTGGCAGATTGTACTCTTTGGTCTTCTTTACAATTTTCCGAAGGGTATGAATGTGGTCTATTCCACCTTCAGTTCACAGCTTTGTCTTGTGCCTAGTTTTGCGTTGAAGTCTCCCATCAACACCGTATAGTGGATTTTGGAGGAATGTATGACTAGAGATATCCTGATACATGACCTTCAGCGAATACCGTTTGGTGATTTTGAGTATCAGGAACACAATCCTCGTCGATCTTTACATCGTTGTTAAAAAGAGACTTGTGAACGATAAATCCAAGACCTCCTTGGGACAGATGGTTGCCCTCCCGGTGATAGAATAGATTGGCGAGGATTACCTTGTCCTCCCCCTCTCTTTGGGTGTCGGATAATCCTGTAATATGCCAGCAAATTTCATCTGCCTCTTCTTTCAGCTCTAGGATCTTCCCGTCACTCCTAAGGGTGCGTGCGTTATAATTTTCCAGGTCTAGTCGTCTTAGGTGGCAATCGAACGTCCAACGGAGATTTTTAGCACCCCTTGCCTCGCCGTTACCATGATCGCACCGTAGCCAGGAATAGCGTGGTTGCCAGGGACTGGAGGCCATTTGTGTAGTTTCTTATGGGGGGATGTTCGCAATAGTTGCCACGCTTGGCGAGTGGGTTGGCAACCGCAGTTTTTATTGTATAATTGCTATTATGAGGAAGATGCTGCTGCCCATCTCCTGCCTGTCTCCCTCTGTCGCCTCTTAGGACACCCACGGAAAGATGTGGGAAAGTCGATATTCGCAACCACCACTACATGGTCGAGCTTTTTATAGTTACGCCTAATTTTGTGAAAAATAAATTAATAAAACCATACACTGGCTTATAAAAATATATATTTCTAAATATGATATTGTATAATGAAAAACCTTTTTTTACCAACTGTGGATTTTCTACATAAAAAATATCCTCACCCAGAATATATATTTTAATTTTTAGATACTTAGTGTGGGACTCGAATCTGTAGCTTGTAGAACCATAGATATACGTTTATTTACTGCGCTAAGTCATTAATATAATAAGAGTGATTATAATACAACAATTTCCTGATGATCATGCTTTAATTCAAATTTTTAAACACAGGTTTTCTAAAACCAAGTCTAACAGAACATGAGTATGGAAACAATGGGTTGTTGGATCAGTTGGCCGCATTGAAGTGGATCAAAGACAACATTGAGGACCTGAACGGTGATCCAGAATCGGTGACATTAATGGGTCATGGCACAGGTGCCGCTTGTGTCAATTTTCTAATGCTTTCACCTATTTCAAATGGTAATTATGTGTATAGTTAATTTTCATTACCTTTCTGATAGAAAACTAATTCAAATTAAACTGTAATCTCTTTCACAATTAATAAAATTATCGCTACATTACAAACTAAACTCAGTATTTCCCTAAACAAACGTTTTTTACGTTGCAGAGCCAAGCTGCGGCTATGTTGTAGTTGTAGCACTAATGAGTTGGCTCGACCAGTTAAGAACCACGCTCTCGTAGAATACCAGCGTAAAATAGGAGCCTAATGCTGATGTGTTACGTATGTGTAGAGAACGGATACCCTTTTTACTGGAAACGAGGTATTCCATCATATTCATCGTCAGTCCTCAGTGGTTGCAGCGCATCTGAATTTTAATTCTACCGCAGCATCCACTTACCGTTAGGTAAATTGTGTGTTCGTTTGTCACCTATATTGTAAAAAAAATGCTGACATAAAAATATATTATTGATACCAAAATCTTATGTTTTGTAAAGTTATATAATAACTTCTACTCATTATTCTTATCGTATTTTTTTTCTTTATAGGATAGGGTGACAAACGAGCACACAGTTCACCTGATAGTAAGTGATTGCTGTGGCCCATAGACATCTACATCTATACTCGATTACAAATCAAAATGCAGATGGGTTATCACCCGTGAGGACTAAGATGGAATGCCTCATTCCAGTAAAAATGGTCTCCGGTTCTCCTACTATTTTACGCTGGTATTCTGTGAGAGCGTGTTCCTTCCCTGGTCGAGCCGACCTATTCATGTTACATCTATACTACTAATATAACTGCAGCATGGCTCTACCACGTAGAAGATTATTAAGAGGAATCTTTATCAATTAGTACAAAAGTATGAACCCTTGTCTTAACACAATAGTTAAAAATTCTAAATATTCATAATAATATATAATTCACGGGACAGAGAAAAGCTGAACATAAATCAGTAAAGTATTACAAATATAAGATACGTTATGCTAGGTATTAGGGCCTTTTTTCCTCCTAGGAGTTCATTCGGGAAGGTACTAAGAGTTGTGTTTCGGACTAAAGGGTATTGAGAGCCAGTGTAATACTGCCAGGCTCTGAAATATGCTACCTTATGCGCAGTTATAAGAGGTGATATTGCATCTTTGTTCGAATTTATTATAGATGTTCATAGGATGCGGTAGTCACTTACCATCAGGTAGTCTATAAATTGGATACTTGAGTTTTATAGAAAAAATATCATAAGCACAGCAAAAACATGATATTACAATTTCAACAGAAATCAGAATGGTTTCGACCATAAAAGGGAAAAGGACTTAATACTTTTGACACTAGAATGACAAGCGTGCTAAGAATATGGTTTCGTGGTGAGTGTCTACAACTGCTCATTACAACCACAACCAACTTCATACAAAGAAGATTTGAAATGCTTAGTCACTTCTGAATACAAATGGAATGCCCCACAGTCTATAAATTTAGTGGCACTTTACATAAGAGTGCTAAACTTTATTTTGTATATAGCCATTTATAAATGCTATAATATGCTAGTAGTTGAGACTAAAAATAAAAAGATACAAAAGAAATGATAAAAATGATCTATAACATGTCAACTAAAAATCAACCAGAATGATCGACAAGGCGCACAATTTAAAACACGTAGATCGTCGTCACTGAATGTATTGACATGTGTCGTAGCAGATAATTAAAATCTTTAGATCTGGTCGCGGGCCACTTGATAAGTATACGCGTGGCCTGCTGGTCGTATCTTCCACATGACTGCTCTAATTCACGTAAAGCAAACACAGCATATTACCACCACCCAGATAAATGTGACTTGTATGTAACTGATGCCACCTAGAAACAATATTTTGTATATTATTAAACTAAACTTACTAGTAAGCTGATCATAGTCCTCCCCATAGATTGTCTCCGAGGGGGATATTTAATAAAGTTGCCACGGTTGGCAAGCGGGTAGGCAACGGCAGTTGCTATTTTTAGTCGTTATTAAGAAGACGCTGCTGCCCATATCCTGATTTCTTTCCCTAGATCGCCTCTTCGATACCTACGAGATGATATGGGTTGGTGGATATTCTTACATCGCCACTACATGATAGTCTACTTTTTACCATTCAAACCAAAAAATACGACATTCAATCATCACCACCCATATCTTCTAAAGATGCCACATAGAAAAATTATATTCAATATTATTGTCAATACCAACTCGTAAGAATAATTCATTAACAGCTTTAGAATTTATAAGCACATTTACCCAAATTAATATAACTATTTTAGCAAAACAAACCGTTCAAAGACACACAATATTAATTTTACCGGTTTAGAATTTCCAAATTGAAATAGGTGAGAGAGTTGTTAAATTATAGTTTGATTTTACGCTATTTTGGGACGGAAACTACCCTCAGATAAATTTTGCCCTGACTACTTCTTTTATTTGATTTTTTGTTCAGTATTTTACATTTTAGTAAATAGATGGTTTTAAACTTAAACTCAATTATGACATAAACGATAAAATGTGCAAACGCGTCAATAATTTACTTCCTTTATTGTGTTATTACTTTGAATTTATTGGCTTTATAAAACATCGGATAATAAACTTATTTTTTGGTATTACTTAATGTTTGCTATAAGCCGTCATAATGGATTTTATGTGACGTCATATTATAATCTCGCGGAAGAGTGTGACAAGAGCCGCATTTCCGAGGTTGAAGAACACATATGAAAATATCACACGCTAAAATCATAACCTGAATTAAGGCTTAATCTTTTATTTACCTTACTTACCATTTTCACAAATTCATTATATCCATCCACTATACAGGCTGTTTGGAAGATGGGCGCAAACACTGAAGGGGATGATACCGTAAATCGTTCAGAACATATTAATCCAAAATTTCCTTAGACGAAGTCTACAGCTTTTTTTAAATTGGATTTCTAGGGCTTTCAACAATTTTTTTTAAATTTTTTAAATAAACCAAAAAAAAAACAATAAGGAAATATTGTGTTTAAGCCATTATAAGAAATTTGACTTTGTTGTTTAAACCTTTTGAAAAACATGCTTAGTTATTACTATTTCTTTTAAGGTATTACTAACGCAGCTATTTCATTGTTGATGAATATATTTGGTTTTTAAAAGACCAATAAAATAAAATTTTTTGTTAAAATATTTTGTTTTTCATGTTCAAAACTTTGACCGCGTTTTCTGGCACAATCGCGGATTCGTCTTTTTACTTCTTTGGTAGCAATTTTAATTTTCATCTTCTGCTTCATAACTTGAAAAGCCGCATGGACTTTTCCTAATAACTCCTCTCTAGATGGCATTTCCACATGCGTGTAGACGAGCTCCTTGGTCCGTCGCCAAACGTAAAAATCTAAAAGAGTTAAATCAGGCGATTGAGGTGGCCAAGGGATGGGCCCGTCTCTGCCGATCCTGTTGTCTGGGAAACAATTATTAAAATGTTTTGCACGATTAGATTTCAATGCGCTGGACAACCGTCTTGCTGAAGGATCATTGGTCTTTTCGTTGCCAATATTGTTATTTCGGCCTCGTCCAGAAGCTCTGGGAGATCTTTCATGAGTAACTGTAGGTATGATTAAAACTACTTTTACCGATTTTATCTTTTAACTACTTTTACGTATAATCCTTGTAGGAATTCCGGCGTTTTTCGCGAGGATTTGTGGTCTATCAAATCTGATGGTTGGGGCGACTGATATGATCACAATCTGCAGACTTCCTAGATGGCATTGTGTGATCATATCCTAGACGGCCCCAACCATTACATCAGATTTGATAGACCACAAATCCTCGCGAAAGAACACCGATTCCTACCAAGGATGATACGTGAGGCTATTGAAATTAAAAAACATCCTAATTTCAATAGAGAAGGAGGCTGGGTACTACCACCTGCTTGGGATCCTATAATCAATAAAATTAAAACTAAACCCAAGCATACCACTGCAAGACCTCAGGACATAGTCAGTTCATTTTGCATAGATCGGACCATAAACAATAATTAAAAAAGCTGAAGGTACTCCGGGTTTAACAATGACATCGGGAACGTCAGTCATCTCAGTCCCCCGTGACCATGGGTGCTGGAAAGCGCCCGAAACGTCGGGAATTAAAAATAAAAAGTAAAAATAAACGCGATAAAATCCGTAAAAGTAGTTTTAATCATGTGCAATGTTCGCGTAAATATAAGAAATCATTATAACTGTAGGTAATTGTCGTCGTTTAAATTATCTCGTAGGAAATGGGGACCAATAAACGTTGCCCACAAGTTTACTCAAAATTTGCTTAAAACGACACTTGCTTCTTCCAGTGTGGATTACTGTCCTTGCTAGCCTAGGTTAGGAAAGTTGATAATTCCTTTTTTCAAATTCTTTGACTCATCGATTCACAAGATGGGTTCTAAAAATCATTCATCTTTAATGTCGCTATTTGGCAAAAAGCGACAAAACTGAATCCTTTGGAACAGGTCTTCATTTTTCAAACCTTCTACACCCGTGCCGTGAAAAGGATACTTGTTTTCTCGGTGCATGGTCTTCCACACTTTCTACACCAAAATGTTGAGGTTTTGAGCTACTCCTCTGATGCTCGTAGTACAATCTGCATTGAACGCTGCAATAATGTCTTCATACATACTTGGGTCGTGTCTTTCCGGATTGATTCCCGGTCTCACGAGATGGATTACAACTTCAGAAACGGACACAATGTGCTATAAAACAATCTGACATTTGGTAATCTTCGCATACATCCTGGAAATACTGAGGATTCTTATGGCACATCCAGTTTCATAGAATAAGAGTGTCAAGCGAGAACGCAGTCCACCTGATATAAAGTGGCCGTGTAGCCGTTAGAAATCATCCATCATCAATTAAGATTTGATATGCAAACAAGTATTGACATTTAATGATTGAGATTGAATAAATATTTAAAAGATTTCTAGTTCTATACACTTAAATATTAACACGACTGCATTAAGATGCTATTTTGCGCTCGAATTATATAATAGCGTGGTACTTCTCTTTTCAAACTGACCCATTTATGCTGGAACTAAAAAATAAATAAAAATAATAACAGTTGAAATATTAAAACTATGCAATTTATTTACGAAATCATTATTTAATTAATCTCACGGCATTTGTTACCAAAATGACTTTAATGCATTTAATTTATCATAGAAAATATTACAATATATCATTTGTACTGGACTTAAATTTTTTTCAGCGTTGTTTCATCGTGCAATACTTATGTCAGGATCGGCGCTTTCTGACTGGGCTATGACAAAAGACCCCGCTCAATACACGCTTCAAGTCGCTCAAGGCTTAGGATGTAACCCAAACTCAAAGAACATGATGAGTTGCTTACAAAACAAACCGTATGTTCTCATAAATTTTATATAATAAGTCCTTACATATGAAATTGGCGTTTTGTACGGAAGAAATATGAAGTCATTTTTTTTTTGTAAAACATATTTAATTAATCAAAGTATGCACAGTTGTTATCTATGCACGTTTGCCATCTCATAGGTAGTTCATTGATCCCTTTACTAAAGAAACAATAAAATCTTTGATGGCGGTTTGGGCTGCCGCATCGGAGTTGATTTGTTTCCTTGTAAGAAGTTGTCCAAATTCTGGGAAAAATTGTAATATGTTAGAGCAAGGTACGGAGAGTACGGTGGATGTCGCAGACATTCCAATTGTAGCTCATCTTACTTAATGGTTGTTTATTGTGTAGTGTGTGGTCTTGAGTTGTCGTGAAGCAGCAGTGTACAGGAGCGATTGAACAATATCGGTTGTTTAGCAGCTAGTTCTTCCTTCATAATTTGCAGTTGCTGACAATAGATAACTGCCGTAATCGTTTGTCCAGATTTTAGAAAGCTGTTGTAAACAACACCGGCGCTAGTCCACCAAACACTCACACGTAACTTTTTCTGAGTCAATTTTCGTTTAAGACGGGATTTCGCTGGGTCTACAGGGTTAAGCCACTGCGACGAGCGCTTCCGATTATCGTATAGTATCCATTTTTTATCACAAGTAATGATTCGATTTATAATCCCTTCATTTTTGTGTCGGTTGAGCAAAGTAGCACAGCAGTCAACGCTTGTTTACAAGCTCGAATCACTCAATTCATGAGGTACCCATCGTTCAAGTTTTTTTACGTTCCAGATTTGCTTCAAGTGGATTAATACAGTTTTATCACTTACTCCAAAGCTTGCAACTATCTCTGAAGTGCTTTGTGATGGATCCGCTTCCACAATAGCCTTTAATTTTTTTTTGGTTTCTAGACGTCCACGGGGTTGGTTCTGAAGGTCGAAATTTCCAGAACGAAAACGTTGTAACCAAAAACGTACCGTGATTTCTTTTGCGACACCAGCGCTGTCATCATCATCATCATTACAGCCCTTCACAAGTCCACTGCTGAATATAGGCCTCCCCCAAGTAACGCCACAAAGCACGGTCCTGAGCCACCTGCATCCATCGACTTCCTGGATGTCTTACCAGGTCGTCACTCCATCTAGTGGGGGGTTGTCCAACACTACGCGTACCGGTATGAGGCTGCCATTCGAGAACCTTTCTTCCCCATCGGTTATCGGTTCTTCGAGCTATATGGCCGGCCCATTGCCACTTCAGCTTACTTATCCATTGGGCTATGTCGGTCACTCTGGTTTTACTGCGGATATCCTCATTTCTGAGTCTATCACGCAGAGAAACTCCGAGCATATCCCTCTCCATAACTCGCTGAGCGACCTTGAGCGTCCTCATACGGCCAGTAGTGAAGGACTACGTCTCAGATCCGTAAGTCATCACTAGCAACACGCACTGGTTTTTACGTTTTCACGCACTTTAGTTTTCAGAGATTGATGTATACCTGACGAGAAGATGTGTCGTAATTTCCCGAACGCTGCCCAGCCGAGTTGAATCCGTCGATTGAACTCTCGGTCGAAGTTGGACTTACCTAGTCAGACTATTTGTCCCAGGTAAACGTACTCGTTAACAACTTCGAGCATAGTGTTCCCAACAACTACCGGCATAGTTGGGACATGGACATTAAACATGATCTTTGTTTTGTCCATGTTCATCTTGAGACCTATCCATTGGGAGACACCATTGAGGTCAATGAGCATAGTGCTAAGGTCTTCCAGCGATTCTGCCATAAGACTATATCGTCGGCAAATCGAAGGTGAGTGATGTACTCGCCATTGATGGTTATACCGTATCCTTTCCAGTCCAGTAGCTTGAAAACGTCTTCCAAGATATTACATCACCCTGTCTTACACCTCTCTGCAGTTGGATAGATTTCGAACTCTGGTTCTGTACTCGGATAGCCATCGTAGCCCTACTGTACAAATACTTCAGCACTTCGATATACCGACAGTCAACTTGGCACCGCTGAAGGGACTGTATCACCGCCCAAATTTCGACGGAATCAAAGGCTTTCTCATAGTCCACATATTCCAGGCAAAGTGGCAGATTGTACTCTTCGGTCTTCTGTACAATCTGCTGCAGGGTATGTATGTGGTACTGAAGCCTTTTCGAAAACCGGCTTGTTCGGAAGGCTGAAAGTCGTCGAGTCTGCGTGCGAGACGATTCGTAATGACTCTCGAAAATAGCATGTAGACGCGGCTCAGAAGGAAAATCGGTCTGTAGTTCTTCAAGAGAGCCTTGTCGCCGTTCTTAAAGAACAAGACCACCGCGCTTCTGCCCCACGCCTCCGGAGTAGTGCCACCATGGAGGATGGAATTGAAGAGCTTCTGAAGGACTTCAAGTACCGGTTTTCCACCCGCTTTCAGAAGGTCCGCTGTAATTCCATCCTCGCCCGGGGTCCTTGCCATTTTTAAGGTGTTGGAGAGCCATTCTAATCTCGCTCAGACTGACGTCCGGGATATCATCGGAATAGTGTCGGATAAGACTTGCTCTTGGATCGTTACTCACACTTGCGTGTGGCTTCCAACGATGATGTGTGCAGCTAGTCATAGAATCTCTCAATCTCGCTCAGAATCTCAGGTGTCCCGGAAACGATGTTGCCACGCTCAGTCTTCAGCTTTGACAGTTGGCTCTTTCTGGCAGACAGATCTTTGGCAAAGACTTTGGAGCCCTGGTTCCGCTCGATCGCTTCTTTAATACGAGCAGTATTAAAGTTGGGTAAGTCTCGCCGCATGCATTTCGAGATCTGTCTGTTCAGTTGCCTGTATGCTGTCAAATCTGTTGACGATTGCAGCCTCATCTCCCGTCTTTCATGGGGGTATATTTGCCATAGTTTCCACGCTTGGCGAGCGGGTTGGCAACCGCAGTTTTTTATTATTTTACAGTTGTTATCAGGAAGATGCTGCTGCCCGTCTCCTGCCTGTCTCCCTCTGTCGCCTCTTACGACACCCACGGGAAGATATGGGGTATTGGATATTCTCAACCGCCACTACACGATAACCAGCGCTGTACACATCATTAATACTTTGAGCTCTTTTTGCAGCACTGGTGCCACGGTAGAACTCGTACTCGTAAATAAACCGATATTTCATGTTTTCCATTGTGCGGTAATAAGCGACGCCAAGGAAAAAAACAATGAGGAAAAAACAAATGAATGACTGTTTTTAAAACTCAAATGTACCATCTAAATGAATTTATAAATTTAAATTTTGAATTCTTTACCAAAGAGGAGATTTCAGGTCAAATTTGTGAGTGCGACAAAACGCTAATTTCATATGTAAGGACCCAATACTTCTAAAATAAAAACTATCAACTTAGGTTCGTTGGTTGAGGAAATAAAAACCTTAGTGGATGTACATTTATTTATATTAACGCTTTCTGGGTTTAACCAATGTGTTCCCATCTTCATTAGTTCGTAATTGGTTGACCACTGGATATGATAGATTCAAATAGTGGGGATCGATCAGAATCACCAATTTCAATGTAACTATTTTAATAGATTTTATCGCTATATTAACTTATTTTATATTCCCGAGCAATGTATAGAACCCATGGTTATGAGGCGGACTGAGGTGTTCGACGTTCCAATGTCACAGTTAACATCCAGATTGGTAAAGTTACAGCCTATATACGTCCTACTGCTGGGCACAGGCCTCCTCTCATTTCTGAGAGGGTCTTAGGGCAAGGAATAGTCCGCCGCGCTGCCCCATTGCGTGTTGGCGAACTTCACATGTCTTCGAAATAATTTTTTTCTTATTTCTCAGACATGCAGGTTTCCTCACGATGTTTCCCTTCACCGATGAGCACGTGGTAAATCAGCACTTAAATTGCAATTAACAATTTCATTGGTGCCGGCGGGGATTCAGGGACATCCAGATTAAAATTATTAATTTTTGTTCCGGTCTACGCCGTATGAACTTATAGTATCTTGAAGTCTTGCTGTTGTGTGCTTGGGTTGTGATTTAATTTTATTAATTATAGGATCCCAAGCAGATGGTATAACCCAGCCATTTTCTCTCTATAACTTTATGAAAAAAAAAACTCTTATGTAGGCTGTAACTTTATTTTGGTATGCTAATATTATCTATTTTATTAAAGATATAAATCAAAATATCACATTGCACTTTGTAATTATGATGCGGTATCCCAGTAGCTGGGCGCTCGTATTAAATTAAATAGTACAATAAGCAGCCATTGCTTCATCCGCGGAAGCAACATTGTAATAGTTAATTGTAGTTTTAAGTGCTGATTTACTGCCTATATAAACCCCAGTAAATAAAGTTATTATTATTTCTAGGAAAATCTAATACACACTAAGTCATAAGACGAACTCTTTCCTATTTCAAAAACCATCTTTGAAATTAAAAGGAGGTCTGTACCCGGCTATACAATGTTTACTTTTAATGTTTAATATTTTTTTTCAGTTTATCGGAAATCAAGAAGGTGCAAATTCTAGCCCGAGAGTTTGAAACGCCTCTTGGTCCCAGTGTAGCTGGGTATTTTGTACCGAATGAACCGGAGAAAACAATGGACGCATTTCCTAATTTACTAAGCAAGTGAGATTATGACAATAAATGTGTAGATATTGTTTAGTTTTGTTTAAAGTTTTTTTTAAATATTTATTTTTTAATATAATTTCATTTTTATTACTAACACCAATTAAATAAAAAATTCATTAGTTGCGTAGGTATCCATTCAAAAGAGGCTGTACATCTACACTATCCTAGCATATTCACATCTTGATATTTTGGGGAAAAGCGTTGTCAAGTATTCAATATATTTTCACATTGAATAATTAGCCATGTTAAATAAAGATTGGTCCTAAATTGGCAGGATTTATAGCGACATAACTTTATTACAATAAGAAAATATGCAACGATCTTCCCATTCATTCTCAAATTGTTACATGGAGCCTCGCTGCAGCTATATATGGCTGAATGGGTCGGCTCGACAGGAGTAGGACCACGCTCTCACAAAATACCAGCGTAGAATATCAGCTTAATGCTGCTGTGATATGTATGGTGATTGTAGAGAACCGGAGACCCATTTTACTGGAAATACGGCATTCTATCTTTGTCCTCAGTGGTGAAAAGGCATCTGCATTTTGATTAATAACCGCGTAAAGATGTAGATGTATATGAGCCACGGCATCTACTTACAATTCGAGTGGCATGTGTGTTCGTTGTTCACCCTTATTCTATAAAAAATTTCATCCAAGCATCTCTGTGGACTACAATCGCTGTTTCTTTTACCAAGTGTGATGATTGAGGCAAATCTTCCCTTCGTCGGGAGAAGCTCATGTTCAGAAGAGGATTTTCATGAGCTGATGATGAACTGTTTGGAGTCTAGCGTATACTGCCTGTAAATTTCTTGTACTAAATGCTTATTTTTTAGGTTACATATATTTGCATAGTTTTCAACTTACTCCCTATTGAGAGCGGAGGGGTGCTTCAAGAAGTTAGAACGTAATAGAATAAGCAACATAAATTTTGACTGCGAATTTACTTAATTTGGTTTTAATTTAATATTAAATTTTAGATATCAGTTACTAAGTGGTGTAACAGAACTGGAGAGCTATCACGATTTTGGTGTCATAGAACTAGACCAAGGAATTTTGGAAAATCAAAGAGATGAGTTTATTAGAAAATTTATTAAAATAAAATTTGAGGGTGCTGAAGTGGATGTCTTGAGAGATATTCTAAGACAGTAAGTCACTTAAATAATTATTTAGTTTTTCCCTTTATTAAAAGTTACATAAAAGTTATTCAAACTTATTGCTATGAGACGAAAGTTTTAATTAATTTTTCTTGCTCATTTTGAAAGGTAAAGTTTTAAAAAATATAAACATTCCGTAATGAGCAACAGTATATATATATATATATATATATATATATATATATATATATATATATATATATATATTTGAAGTGTGTTACCGTAATGAAAAATCAGCCATACCGTCCCCTTGCTGTCGTATAGAGCAACCATGGAACCATAAAAATGTGAGACGTCTGCTACATCTTCTATTTTATAAAAAAAAAAAACTAAATTGACAAACGATTTTACAGTCCATATGATGGTAAGTGAATTTAGCTGTCCTTTATGCAGGTGCAGACAATATAAAACAAAGAAGCATTGACACCTCTGAGGGCTAAAATGAAATGCCTCACAGATTGTTATTAACGAAACAGAAATAGAAACTTTTTTTATCATATATAGATTGTAAATACACTCATTAAAATGTACTTTTTTTAATTTACCGCTGGGGTTTTATACCAGCCATGTATATCCTCCAGACCAAAGAAGATAGTTCAAACACTGCTATTTAACGGCATAAATAGGTAGAGGCGCGGTACCTACACAGATGATCTCAGAGCCAGAAAAGGAGTTTTCTTGAGTGTGTTAAAAAAAGATAAATTTAACTGAACACTAATTCTCTGCATTCCGGAATATATTATTGCGCACATTAAACAATACCTAGTACATGGTGGATTATTATTAGCGCCATCTAGTGTTGAATTGGTAATCCAAGCGGAGAATTTCGAAAAAAATAAAGTGAACTAAAGTGTTAAGTGTATATAATTATTAGTGTGTTTTAAGTTTTAATTGGTGCTCGGTAATTTAAGTGTCAATTTTGGTAATTCAATCGGTAGTTTTTATTGTCACGAACCCTAAACTCGTAACTTTATATTTGATATAAGATGTCATGCCCTCTGGTAATATATTTCTATAATATTTTGTTACAGATATTCGACGTCCAAGTTGGATCCCCAACGCTGGAATGTCGACGCGAATCGTGATGTCATACTGAATTTGTTCAGCGACGCAAGAACCTTGGCACCTATGATAAGTTTTGCAAACTACCAGTCTAAAGCTAACCGTCAATCATACTTTTATGTTTTTGGACATAATTCAATCAGCACAGATTATGCACCAGTAAGTACATAGAGAGACCAATTGAAGGAACTCCCTATTGCCTCAATTTAAACCAACAAAGAAAGAAAGACGGAGCGCTGCGACGAGCCATGCTCAACTTATAACAAAACACGAGCTCACATACACGTACTACGTAGGGGCTGCTAAAAAAGAAAGAAAAAATATGTGTGTGTCAATCAGGAAGTTGTGCATGGTTCGGTCATCTCTTGAAATGTATCTAGCATTCCATTTTTCTTTCTTTGCATGTGAGAGTACCTCAAAATATATAATTACGGAGAAAATCAAGGCAAGCGATTATCACTGTAGCTAAAAATTTAGTTGCGGCATTGCAGGACCTTGGGTTAGAATCCCGCACGATATAAATGAACTCGAAGAGAAAGCGAATTAAAATAAATGGTATTTGATGAGATTGTCTTTGAATTACCCAGGCGAATCTCTTCCCCATCCATTGTCGGTTGAGCTTACTAATTCGTTGAAATATGTCGGTTATTATTATTCTAATCCCGATATTCTCATTTAAAGTTTATCAAGCAGGGAAAATTCAGTTCACGTGTCCTAGACATATTTTCCAGGAGTAGTTCGCCACTAAATACCTAAGTAACACATCTAACTGATCTTAAAAACAATAGAAGGCCTGTGCCTAGAACTGGTTCCTGTGGGATACGTTAATTTGATTTTATTAAAAAACTCGATTTTCTCTAGGAAACTTACTAAAATTTAATGTATGTTAAACGTAAATATATTTTTTACGTGATAGAGCCATGCTACAGCTATATTGTTATTGCAGCACGAATGTGTCTGCTCAACCCGTTAAAATGTTACAAATGATGAGTGTAAAGAACCAGAGATCCTTTTTACTGGAAACGAGGCATTCCATCTCAGTCCTCAGGAATAACAATTCTTAATTGAAGATAAAAGTAGATGTCTATGAGCCACAGCATCCACTTACCATCAGGTGAACTGTGGGCTCGTTTGTCACCCTTATTCTATAAAAAGAAAATATTCTTTTCATTGCTCACATTGAGATGTTTGGCTTTCAGTTAAATAAAAGTGTACATGGTGAAGAGTTGCCTTATGTATTAGGCATTCCACTAGGAGGTGCCAACTCACATTTCCACGCGGAGTATACACCACAGGAGAAATTACTCAGTGAGGTTGTTATGCGATTGTGGACAAACTTTGTAAAAAACGGGTAAGTCATTTAAATAAAATTGAAGTGTCTGTACGTAATATTGTAATAACTGCCTTTTATATAAGCCGAAAGCTTAATAACCAATTTTAAAATGTAAACGACTGGGCTAATTTCTGGAATAGCTGAACCGGTAGTAGCGAAAATTGACAATAGATAAATAGAAATGCCAGGAGTGATTTAGGCTATATTTTATCCGTTAAACTTATTTTTCTTGAGAAATCGAAAAGAAATCTTTAAATGACCCAGGCGAAGCCGGGACGGGTGGGTAGTATTCTATATTATAAGTACTATATTTATATATATATATATATATATATATATATATATATATATATATATATATATATAATGATTGTTCTTATTTTTCTTCCTCTTCATCGCCTCGTCTACCGCTAGACATGTGCCTCCCCCGTTTTAGGACAACGGGTTGGTTCGGGGCAGGGCCATGGTCAATCGCATTTCTCGCTAATATAAAATGCTACAAGTGGCGTCATCTAGTTAAAGCTATGTTCACTAACACCTTTTGTTTAAAAATAAAGTTCAGTCTGTTTCAAGCTATTATCTGTGCGATTTATTAGGTCATGGGCCCAGCGCATAATTCAATAAAGTATCATCATCAGCGCATAATAAAGCAAAAGGTGTAAAAATGTGCATGAAATTGTTCATGCAGATCTTTATGGGCCGATGGAACAGGTCTCTTTGGGTCAAGCAAGATATTTTTTGCTTTTTGTTGACGATTACAGTAGAATGGCTTTTGTCTACTTTCTCAAGGCCAAAATTCAAGCTTTAAAGTATTTCAAGGAGTTTAAAATTCTTGCTGAAACACAGACAGAAAATAAATTGAAAGTTTTAAAAACAGATAATAGTGGGGAGTTTTGCTCTGCGTAATTTGTTGACTACTTAAAAAAAATGGAATAGTGCATCAAACAACAAACCCGTATACATCAGAACAAAATGGTCTTTGCGAACGGCTAAATAGAACAGCTGTGGAGAGAGCTCGATGTCTTCTGTTTGAAGCAAATCTTGATAAAAGATTTTGGGCAGAAGCAGTCAATACTGCCGTCTATTTACGGAATAGAACGCTAGCTTCGGGTCTATACAAAACACCATATGAGCTATGGAATAATAAAAAAACCAGATCTCAGCCACGTTCGCATATTTGGAAATCGTGCAATGGTCCATGTTCCTAAAGCGAAGAGAACTAAATGGGATAAAAAATTTGAAGAATATATCATTATCGGTTATGCCGAAAATACCAAGGGCTATAGACTAAGTAATCCAAGAACAAAGAGTATTACTACCAGCAGAGACATTTTCATTATGGAGAAAAAGAACTCGGATATAATAAAAGCAGTGGTGGAAGATACCAAAGATATTGAGCCAACTATTGAAGATAAAGATAAGCAAGATACCACTCCGAGTCTAGAAGAAGATAGTTTAATCACTAAACAGGATGATACTTACATATCCGATGTGACTACTAACTCGTCCAACTCAGAAGAATTCTGTGATAGCAGGTCTCTGTGTGATGAAGCTGAAAGTCTGGGACCAGAGTTTGCTGACATTTGGAAGAGAGCAAAAAGAAAACCAGACAGATAGGGATATGGTAATATATGTAAAATTGATGAGGGCTTGGATGAGAACAATTTCACATATGAGGAGGTAATGAGTGGACCTGAACGAGAACAGTGGTGCAACGCTACGGAGGAAGAGCTCAAATCCTTTGAAGAAAATGAAGCTTGGGAGTTAGTAAACAAACCAAGTGATGCTAAGGTGGTACAGTGCAAGTGGGTGTATAAAAAGAAATTAAACATTGATAACACAGTGCGATATAGAGGAAGATTAGTTGCAAAAGGTTTCACACAACGTGAAGGCATAGACTATAAAGAAACTTTTTCAAACGTGCTTAAATATTCCACTTTAAAATTGTTATTTGCTTTAAGTGAAAACTGTAAAAATGTAGATAGTAGACTCCTATGGAAATTAATTTGAAATTGGAAAAAAGAAAAAAAAATTAAAGTACAAATTTCCTTATCAACAGCTGATAGGCAGATTAATGTATCTCTCAGTTTTGACTAGACCCGATATCTCGTATTGTATTAGTTATTTAAGTCAGTTTAATAACCGTAATACAGAAACACACTGGAAACATGCTAAAAGAGTTTTAAAATATTTGAGTTCTACAAAGTCATTTGGTTTAAAATATGTTAAATATAATTTAGATTTAATTGGTTTCGCTGATGCTGATTGGGCATCTGACAATTTAGATACTCGTAGAAGATCTTATACATGATGTTGTTTTGTATACTCAGGTTGTCTAGTATCTCATGAAAGTAGAAGGCAACAGACGGTAGCTTTATCAAGCACCGAAACCGAATACATGGTTGTGTGTGAAGCTAGCAAAGACGCAATTTTCTTGAAAAATCTATTATGTGAATTAACTAACAGAAAAAATAATATGCCTATTCTGATTTATAATGACAGCCAAAGTGCTCTAAAACTTACTGAAAATTCTGTATATCATAGACGTAGCAAACATATAGATATAAAATTTCATTTTATATGGGAAGCAGTTTATAATAAATTTATAAAATTAGAATATTTAAAGAGTTCTAAAATGCCAGCTGACTTATTTACTAAGAGCCTGCCTAAAAATAAACATTATTATTTTATGAATAAGATGGGCGTTGTAGCATTACACAAGCAATAATTATACTTATTACATTGTTTTGTTTAATAAGTGTTTTTGGAATATTTAGTTAAGTTGTGGTATTGGTTTTATTGTAACTAAATTTAAAATGCTACAAGTGGCGCCATCTAGTTTAAGCTATGTTCACTTACACCTTTTGTTTAAAAATAAAGTTCAGTCTGTTTCAAGCTACTATCTGTGCGTTTTATTATTACGCCGCTACCTCAAGAAATCAAGAAAAAATATTATTAAAATTTTTTCTTGATTTCTTAATTCTAATCTAACCTTTATTACATTGAACAAGGAAATTACTCGTAGACCCATTAAATTTGACTTTTAAAAAGTTAAATAAATCTACTTTTACGCAATGAAATCACAATAAAATCCGTAAAAGTTTCAATTAATGCATAGTGTTGCATAAATATTAGACATCATTATGATTTATTTCCGTTCCTTGCGGTATACGGTCACCTTACGGTATATAGTAACGATAGCGTATGGGCACTTATTAGGTATATAAAACTGAAAGACTGCAAAGCTTATTTGGATTAAGTTTAATTTATTTAGTTCTTATTATATAATTGTGAGCAATCTCGAACGGGGCTACCACGAAATGATACGTAGACACTATAGTAACCCAATTCTTTTTTTAAATGTTCTATTTTTACTGTCCATGACGATATAAAAGATTTGTAACATTTTTTTCAAACAAGATTATTAAAATATATATTGCAGCTATATAATGGTTGTACCCCGAATGGGTTACCTCAACAGGGGAGGGCCATCCTCTTACAAAATACCAGCGTAAAGTGTTACTAAGCTTCGTATAAAGAGTATCGATAACTGGAGACCCTATTTACTGGAAACAAGGCATTCCATCTCATCTCTCATCTCATCACCTCGAGTTGCCAAACATTTGTATTTTGATTCTTAATCGAGAATAGATGTAGATGTCTATGAATCACGGCATCCACATTCTAAAAAAATGTTGTTAAGCGTAAAATAGTAATGTGTATTAAAGTCATGTATATTAAAGTTATGGAGATAATAATTATTCCATAACTTTAATATACATAACTAAACTAAAAAGACTTGTTATGTCGGATTCTATAAGATTCAATTGCCAGTGTTCTCTTAGTAAACCCTTAACTCTCGCTAATACGTGAAATAAAGTTTTAACTCGATAAATATATTTTTTATGAAAAATTTATATATCGAATATAAGTTATCAGGAATGTTAACAAGTTTTATTAACTCGCTTTTTTCTCTGTTTCTTAGGTTTCTCATTTTCATTTTTATAAATTCCCAAGGAACGTGTTAGAGCCACACTGCAGCTATATTATTGCCGTAGCACGAATGGGTCGGCTCGACCGGGAAAGACCACGCTCTTACTAAATACCCCCCGTAAAATAATACCTTATTGCTGCTGTATTTCGTATGGTGAGCGTAGAGAACCGGAAACCCTGTTTACTGTAAGCGAGGCAATACATCGTAGTCCTTAGGTGTGACAACGCATCTTCATTTTTAATTTTAATAAAAAATAAATGTAGATGTCTATGGGCCACAGAATTCACCTACCATCACTTTGACTGTGTGCCCGTTTATCATCCCATTCTATAAAAAAGAGTTACTAATGATAATGTACTACACAATATAAACTTACTTTCTTGTATATATGTTTGTTTGTTTGTTTGTTCCGTACAAAATTTGCAAAAATAGACATTTAGCCAAATACGCGATAAGCCAGATACTTAAAATTTTACACATTATTCAGAGCTGGAAATGAAGTCAAATAGGTCGCCACTTTGAATCACAATTATTACCTTGACTGTTATTTATATGGGTTCTGATTCCTGTTGTAAATATTTCTCCCATATTTCTTAGATCCCCCAATACACAAAGTGTAAATGAGTACTACACTTTGGATAAAAAACAATGGACCCAGTATAACGTTGAATGGCCGGAGTATACCGAAGCTCAGCAACCATTTTTAAAATTAGGTAAGATTTTATTATTATTGTTCCATAACATCGCAAAAAAAGAGGATTTGAAAAAAAACTTAACTGTGTACAATTAATTTAAGAGTTACGATTAAGGGGTGAATAAAAAGTGTAATGTACTTGTTATGGGTCGGACATATTATTGCATGTTGGGTAGGAAAGGTTATTTAAAAACAACTTTGTAATTGTAAGTAGAGAAAACACCTTCGCGGATGTTGGCTCTATAAAATAGGTAGAATATGATCATGCTTTTTGAAATACCCTATAGTAGTTTTGTTTACGGTGGTCACGGTGGTTGAATGAAAGACTAGCCACCTGTGTACGAGAAGATTATAGTGCACTATTTTGTGCGCAGGCACTAATGCACCCTCTTTTTCCTCACTCTCATATTTCAATAGGATGGCACGACTGATAAGAGGACAGTCGGAGTGGGTATTATTATACTGTAAAATAATAACTTATATAAGCCAAACCCTAGAATCGTACCTTGGACTCGTATCAGCAGTCGCGACAATGAAACCAACGACGCATCGAGGCTTTTACTTACATGAGCAGTATATACAGCAATATAAAATGTTGTGTAAAATAATGATCTTAAAGTAAATAAAATTACAAAAAAAAATTTGTCCTTTTTATTTTACAGATATTCCACCTTCTATCAGCAGTTCATATAGAAAAAACTTTACGAGTTTCTGGCTAGATTTATTGCCGAATAAGATGAAAAGATATATAATCGATCCATTATTTGAGTATACTGATAAACCAACGACGCTAAAACCTAAGTCGATACAGAGGATAATAGGTATGAGCCCAAATAATCTGAGCATATTTTTGTTTTTTCATCTTATATTGCTTCACAAAATATTGAAAGGCGAAATTATTAGTTTTCAATAAAGAAAAGCTCGTTTTAATTGCATAAATTAAACCGATAAAAATTTTTTTGCAGATCCCATAAGAAAAATATGGTCACCTCAAGTAATTAATCCAACTTACTACCATTCTCCGTCCTACGGTAAAGTGCGACCATTCTCACAGCCAGAACGAAAAACAGACACTGATAAGATATATCGTGAAATACAGTCAATAAAAGCGCCATCAAGACCTGTACCGCCTAGGCTAATGGAAAAGGTCACTTATGGTACTTACTCGACTACTGCAAAGCCCGTAACATTAAACACCATGGCAGTAAAAACCTCTAGCGCGACTATAACTCTTCTCATTTCAATAGGGGTTCTGTTCCTGGCAATTAATTTTGGAATATGTGGCGTATTCTATTTAAAGAAGCGACGAATTCGTTTGCGAGATAGAAATTTCGAACCTACGCGACAAACACGTGCTGAAATTGGCGAAGTTGATGTTATAGGGCAAAAGAGTTCCAAGGAAGATAAAAGTGCTTTTCGAACGCTTAAAAATGGGTGTAGTGTAATAAAAACAATTGGTTTAAATAAAATGCGAGGAAGTACTAATAGTAAAAAGGTTAAAAAGAAAGAAGTGTGTAAAACTCCAAAGTCTGATGATTCAGGTGGTTTTCGTGAAAGATTTCAATTAAGAAGACATTTATCAACTAGCACTTTGGACGCTAATACAAAAGTAAGGGACTGGATAACCAATGAAGTAATGCACCGATGTTCACCAAGTATTCTCAGAAAGTCGAATTTAGACTTAAGCAGTGATAAGCAATTAAGTCCAAAGAAAGCATTTACACGATCCGAAGAAATTTTATCAGAAGTTAAAAGAAACAATAAAGATTTAAATTTAAATGATAACGTTACACCTAAGAATGTTCTAGCACAAAATTATCAGAACAGAAAAGCTAAAACCTCCGAAAAGACAACCTCCACCTCGGCACTTGGCTCTCACTCCTCCCTAGGTAGTAATAAACAGTCAGTGATTAGTAAACATACGGCTCAATCAATCGATTCATTAAAAAGTAAGGGAACAGAAAGTATTAAGTCCAAAAAAGTTTCTGTAGCCATAGATGCTACGCCATTCGCTCGTAGAAACTCTATTCTGACACAAGAACCTATAGAGTTATCGAAATCATTTGAAAGTAAAAATTCAGAACATTCCAATAAAGAATACAAATTACAAAGGTCCAAAACTGAAGAAGATTGCAAGTCCCATACTATTGAAATTAAACCTATTATACAAGAAAGAGAGCATAAGCTATTTACCAATATTATAACGTTATCATTGCAACAAGAAAAGCCTTTGAAAATTTCTCATAAGCATTCCTCATCAGATCCTGTAACAGACGTTAATTATGATTTACTAATTAAAGAAAAAGTGAATTCGGGGTCATACACACCAAATATTCTTCCTCCATCTAGTTTTAGGAATAATGTTAACGTTACTTCAAAAGATGAGTTGTCACATAAAGAGCCACTATCTGCTGACGAGGCACTTATGACAATAAAGAGACGAAATTTTCCAAAAGTTTTACCAGATTTTCCAAATGCTCAAAAAAGGTTATCATTACAACCTACCACTCTGCAATCTTTTAGAAGCTACCCGGGAAATATAGAAAATATTTTTGAAAAACCTAGAGTTCCACCGCAGCCTCCGCCACGTACCACAACTTTAGAACGACGACTTGCATATAAAAACACAAAACCTTTTTCTTCCTTTGGCATTTCAAATCAAGTTAATTCTGAAACAGTACCAGATAAAAATTACGAAAATATAGGCACTTTGACTTCAAACTCTGATAGTCATGGAAAATCTAATAAGTCATTAGAAAGCAGCTCAGGGACATATTATGAAAATACTGAAAAACGACGGGATTATCCAAAAGTAATTATAGCTTCCATTGACATGCCAACTACATCAGATTCAAAAATTGTAATACAACCTTCTCCCAGTCAAGTAGATATTTCGTCAAATGTACCACGCGTAAAATTACCAGAGGATTTTCATTCTCGTTCAACTGGTTCCGCAACATCGTTTTCATCTATTTGTTCGGATTATAATGACGATGTAGAAGAAGGCATTGATGACGATTTTCTCGATGATATTGCTGAAGACAAACTCATTCAAGAATTAGTAGGAGGTGTCGAGTCACCGACTAATACTGTTATTTTGGACTCAAAAGGACCAGAAACAATTTTTGAAAAAAGGCTTGAAATCGTACCAGTTAAATTAAATACGGTCCAGGTTACACCCAAAGTAAGAGATGATTACATTTTCGTGTCGGACTTATTTTTACCTGAGGTTTTTGACACTGAAAAAACAGCCCAAATAAAACCAAACTTTGGTTTAAATAAGCTTCAGCAAAGAAGTGAAAGTATTAATAAGCCACCAGAAAAGGCTATAAAAGTGAAGCAAAAAAAAACCATTAAACCCTCGGTTATTTTGAACAAAGGAATTAAAAGCCGCAGAAGTGATATTGCAAAAAACAATGCTACAAGCAAACTCGAACATTCAAATTCGGGTTCATCTAATGATACAGAAACGAGTACAGGGACGGTTAAGAAGCTGGAAATAAAACATTAATTTAATACCATAATTTTATTATGTTTATATATCTTGGCTTCATGATTCCAAATTTTTTTTAAATAGATGTTATAATTGAATTCCAAATAAGCAGCTAATAAAATCGATAAAGTAATAAATTTTATCTAAACACAGAAAAAAATTGAAGGATATTATTTAATGCCATTAATTAAAACTAATAAGCGGTAGTTATAAAGTATTATAAGTCCATTTTTACTTTTACATTCTTTTCACCGCTTCCTCTTCCAAAAAAAAAATCATGCCTTTAATTTGCCATTATGAATACTTTAATGTTCAGCAGATGGATTAACGATCACATTCTGATGTAACGTAAGGTACGGTCAATATTCAAAATATTTATAAAAGTAAAACAATTGTTGTTTCTTGAGATAGCTTGATTTCACAATTGTCTTTCACGCTGTGATGTTGGCAGGCATCACATATATATCAGCTTGAAAGAATCCACAGCTGTAAAATTTAAGGCAGCTGTACATCGTAAAGATTTTTCCGTATCTTTTCTTGCATAGCTAAATGGAGATGTTTTTATCCAGCACAAAATACGAAGGGTAATCATAATCACTATCGTCATCATTATTGCAACCTGTCAAAGTGCAATGTTGTACTTAGTGCTTGCTCATACATATGGCATCTTAGAAGTGATATCCGCCTTAATGCCACGTTTCCTGATTAAAATTTTGATTTGTTATCAGGAAGATGCTGTTGCCCTTATTCTGTTTCAGGTTCCCTCTGTCGCCTCTTTTGACACCCACGAGATTATATGCAGTAGTGGATATTCTAACATCTTTTTCAAAATTATGAGTAATTATCAGGTAGGTGCTGCTTCAGTGTATGCATATTTTTATATTAGCCTAGCAGAATATAAAACATTATAAGACATTGTGGTTGTTTAACTCAATAAAACATAGAATTTCTATTTGAACAATAATAATAATTAAGTAAATAAAAACAAATTTCTCTAAGCCGTGAAAATGTCACAAACTGTAATTTCCCTGGGGTGAAAAGCGAAATGGTTTCGCTACATTTGAAATTATTAAGAGTTTTACCTTTTGTACCTTTTGCAAAGTGGACAATTGTTTTAATAATATGATATGTTTTATAAAATAAAACACCTACGATAAACAATGTTACAGGTGACAATCTTCATTTGAGACTCGGTTCATTAACTTTACATATTAGGGGGAAATTTTCAAATACCTACATATACATAATTTAAAGAAATAAAAAAGGTGAACTTTAATAAATCGTTTATCTTACAATAGTAGGGTTGAGGTATACCGAAAATTATGCTAAGTGATGGCGTTTTTTCGAGGAATAACGACATATAATAACATTTTCTTTTAATTCTATTTCACATAGAAAAATATATAAAAAAGCGCAACGCAAAAAGTCTGTGTAAAAATGAAAATAAATGCTTGCACTCTAGTACTGTTAACGTATATTGAGAATAATATAAACGTATAATGTAACTACGCAAAATACCAGTGGCACTTTATCAGCAGATGGTCACACATTATATATGGTTACACTAGTGATGATTATATTATTACGCTTATTTATACACTTCTACATTATATTATTTATCTGTTTTTTTAAACCTTAAAAGACAAACGAACTTACAGTTCACCTAATTGCAAGTTGCTACTGGAGTCTATGGACACATGGTCTAAGATGGAATGCTTCAAGGCTTCAAACCTTACAGACTCTCTTTACTCTTCAGACGCTATATTATATAACATTCGTCCGTCCATTACAGTCTACAAAAGTTCATTTTTGAATATTATTGTACATTGATCGCCGCATAGAAGGGATTTTGTAATATTTGCTATGCTTGGAAGGCAGAAATTAAAATTTTGAGTGTTTACCAGGAAGATGCTGCTGTCCATCTTCTGTAATAGTTTTCTTTTCGTTCATGTCCTGTTTGCCTTATACCACACTCAAGAAATGATATCGATACAATACGGTATAATTTGGCCTTGAAAGGAAAAGAGGAGATTTCGTGTCAGGCAAGGATTATTTCGGAGTTGTTCTATATATAGCGCATTATCTTCAGAACGTTGATAGCGCGATTTACGTTTCACAGAAGAGCGCCTCCACACGCCTCCTCCTGCTCAGGCATAAGTGAACAGAAAAAAGACGATAGTGCAGTCCGATTGCCGGTGTGCTCTTAATGCTAGTAGGGAACGCATGCTGTGTGCGTTATATGATGGTGTGTAATGCATGCCGTATTGCGCACTTGCAAGTGATGTCAGTCGGGCTGAGAAAGTCTGCCTTTTAAATCTGAGGTGAGTCGAAATGAAAACAAACTGAACAGTTTTCTAGGCTCTCGAGACTGCAGAAGACGATTCTCAGGAGTAACTGGTAGTAGGGTCTCTTTAGGGTAATGACGAAGGCTTGAAGTTGTAGTACCCAAGATTGTTTGGTGCGTGTTCACATCGCATTAAAATTTAACAGTAATGGAGCCCCGCGGAAGCTTTGCTGTTGTAAGTACCGAACGGTTTAACACGACCTCCAGAATAGCGGCATGAAGTGGAAGCTCTGCTTCCGCGTTTCGTCTGGTGAGTGTAGGAGGCCGGAGGCCCAATCCCCCCCCCTCTTAACATGGTAGCGGAATTAAGAGAAGATCTACATTAGGAGGGTACAATCACCCCTGGAGAATCCCTCGCTGAGGCTCAACGACCAAGTTACTGCACTCCTGAGCGTGGGTGCTCAGGCTGTCCCGCGTATTCTGGGGGGTAGGGGGCGAAATTCCGCTCAGGGAAAACAGGGCCTGCTAGGGGCAAACAGAGCAACAAGACCAAGGCGACCCCTGCCACGCTATCCGTGAATTTCTGCAATATAAGGGGACTTCATTCTAAGCTAAACGCCGTCCACTACCTTCTCGAGACTGAAAAGTCGGCTCTGCTCTTTCTGACCGAGACACAGGTGTCTTCTCCGACTGATGCTTCGTATTTTTTCTACACGGTGTACAAACTCGAACACTCCTTTGTGCCTCGGGCTGGAGTTTGCGTATACGTCAGAGAGGACATCTGTTCTCGACGCCTCGGCAGTCTTGAAGGTTCGAACCTGTTCATCTTTTGGCCACGCGTAGACAGTGATGACCATCCACTACTACTACTCTCTCTACGGGTGTCTCTATAGATCCCATAGCGGTAATGCCGAAATAAATTGACTCTTCGATCACGTCAAAATGGCTTCAGATTCGTTGCTACAACAGATCCCCTCCGCAGAGATCGTGATCCTCGATAATTTTAACGCCCACCACGCCAAATGGCTTGGTTCACGTTCAACCGATCATGCGGGGAGATCTGTTAATAATTTTACCTTGTCTTATGGTCTGACACAACCGGTTACTCCGCCTACGCGGATTGCAGATGTGGAGGATCATGCACCGTCCCTGTTGGATCTTCTACTGACCTCTCATCCGGACGAATGTCATATTTCAGTTGAAGCTCTTTTAGGCTCCACGGACCATTGTCCGGAGTGTGGTGCTACTCACGCTGAAATCGCGGTTGCATTCTGCAAGTTGCCGCCGTGTTGGCATTATAGGTCAGCTGATTGGGATAGGATGCGGTCTTTTTGCATCCTAACCTTTGGGGCAGAATTGCTTCTCGCCAGACGCTCCCAACGTTGTTGCTAATTCTGTTGCTAATAAGGTACTTCAGGGTATGGAACTTTTTATTCCTTCCTTTGTGGTGCCCACCGGAGGCAAATCTCAGCGATGATTTGGTCGCTCCTGTAAAATACCATCATGCTATAAGCAGGAGAGCTACCAAGTCTGGCCTGACGCATCAACGACCCGGGATGTAAGCACCAGCGACCTAAAAAAGAAGTATATTTTCGTTTCCAGGTCCCTCAAAAGAGTCATTGCCAAAGCAAAGCCAGAGCACATAGGCAGAATTGGCGAGAAACTATTTTGACTTCCTTCTGAAACCCGTGCATTCTAGTCTCTCGCCAAAGCTGTCCAGATAATTTCTTTTAGCCATCTCTTTCATCATCTTGTAGCAGCCAGATTAATCAAACCTAAACGGGAATAAATAATATATACTCCGCTGCTACCATAACGCGGAAGGCGAGAATAAATAAAAAAACATTTTATTTCCTAATTATTCTTGGCTACTGAGATACTGCGGACTGTATATAGATAATTTGACGTTCTTATAAAGAAACAAGAAGCAGCCGCAAATATCATTCAGCGCCACACCGACTTCACACGCCGCTATCGTCACGTATCCGTCGACCAATGGTGAGCCGTTTCTTCAACGCCGCAGTTCGTTTCCTCTTGCTGTTCCGGAGCTGTATTCCACACCGCCGCCGCCCGCCGACTACGCGTGCGCACCGATCTGCATGTCTTATATAGCCCGGTCCAGCGACGTAGCTTCGTGAACAACAAACAAGTCTCACGCCGGGAAACGAAACGTAGATAATTGTATATTTTAAATAGTTTTCATTGGTCATAAAATAAGCAATATAATTGGCTAGGCGAAATATTAATTGTTACCATTGGCAAATCAATAGTGAGCCAGCCATATAAATATAGGCAAGGTTGATGCAAAAGATATTCCATTCCGAATCCCATTCGACAGTACATTCATAAACATAAACAGTAGTTTCATTTCTCCACCTTGAAGAAAACCACTCGGAGTCTGTTAATAGTGGACAGTTCGTCTCCACTATTACAGTGGTGACCCCGTACGAACACCGAGGGGGAAGATCCGGTACGAACACCAAGAAGGAACACCCTGCGACGTACCACTACTATTGCACGAACACCGCGAAGGAAACCCGTACGAACACCGAGAAGGAAGACTTCAGTTTATATAAAATCAGTGTAATCAAGCCGTCATTATGGAGCAGGAGGCAAACACATATACATCAAACCCGGTAAAGGAACCAGAAATCGCCGGTATATCTCTATCGTTAAGAATACCACCGTTTTGGAGAGACAAACCACGACTTTGGTTCGTCAGTTTTGAAGCCGC